CATGGGGAGTTTATTGTTCTGGGGGGGTCTATTGTTGCTGGGTGGGATCTATTGTTGGGGGGGGGGGGGTCTTAGATTGCTGGGGAGTCAATTGTTGCTAGGAGAGATCTTCAGCTGAGGTAGGAGGTCTACTGTTTCTGGCTGCTGGCGGTTCTATTCATGTTGGCTGCTAGGAGATCTATTGACGATGCGGTGAATCTATTGTTGCTTGGGGCGTGTATTGTTCTGGTGGGTTTATATAATCCATCTATTTTTACTGCCCCCCCCCCTTACTGAGAATGTAAACAAGCCCCTAGGGACATGATGTGGCTATGCTGGTTCAGAAAAAGGTTGATTTCTGGCCATATCTGTAATCTCTGCCTGTTTTCAGCAGCCCCCGACCCCCCCTCATACCATGACATATCCTTGTACAGAAACAATGGAGCTTCACACCCGGCTCAGTTCTACTGATAAAAAAACAATTAAAAGTAACCCAGACAAATCCGTTCCATGCAGCACATCACGCTGGAGCACTCGCCCCCCCCCCTGCGCATATCAAGGCTTTCGCAATATCCAGCTGCTCTTCAGCTGTTACACCTTGAGGGGTGTTTGCTCTCCAATCTCCAATTTCTCTCCACCAGAGGTGAACTTTAGCAGCCAATCGTAGCGGGTGTCGGCGGTCAAGGCGCGGTCAAGGCGCGGTCAAGGCGCGGTCTAGGAGAGGAAGGCCCAGAATCTTCTGGTGAGGCTTCACAGGTTTTCTTTTGCCTTCTGTTCTGCTAAATGTTGGGATGGTTGTGGCGGCTGAAGTGTTGGCATGTTCACTAACATCATTTCACGTTTGATAATTAACGGCGAGGAGCAGGCGGGAGCCGGATCATTTTTCATTTTGTTTACACAAAAAACAATGCCTGTCACGCGGAGTTTCTTACCAATCGGTGGATGCTTCTTGTCAGATGTCTGGGGGGGGGGGGGGGGGGTTGGTTAATCAGCAAAAGTGTGAACTGTTCAGAAATCACAGCAGGAGAAGTTTCTGAATAATGAATTCCCAGGTTCAATACATGAGATGACTGAGCAATCAGCCAGAATCCTGAGCACCCTTCATGTACGTTGGATGGACGCATGCATCCGACAGTTATCTATCTCAGTGGTGTAACTAGAACCTTCAGGACCATGGTGCAAGAAACCATGAAGGGCCCCCTTCTGACCTCATCCCTGGGCCCTTTCCATTGGTCCAGGAGTCTTCCTCTTCATTATGGTCCCACAGTGGGACCCCTTCATATGTGCTGCAGCAGGCACCTTTCTTGTCGTTTTTGGTACCCCCATGGTGGTGGAATGCCAGGGCCAAGTTGCAAGTGTGACCTTTGCAACTCTGGTGGTTCAGATTTAAGGGGGAACTCTGGAGGTACTAAAATAGTACCTCTAGAGTGCCCCCTTACAGCCTCCTCCAGAGTGCACCCTTAATGCCTCTAGAGTGCCCACTTGGTGTCTCCATAGTGTCTCCAGAGTGCCCCCGTAGTGCCCTATTGGTGCCTACACAGTGCTCCATACATTTTCCAGAGTGCCCCCTTACATCCTCCAGAGAGCCTCCTTAGTGCCTCTAGACTGCTCCATTAGTACAGTAGTACTAAGGGGGCATTCTGGAGGAGGACATAAGGGAGCATTCTGGAGAAGGATTTAAGGGGCTTTGGAGGAGGATTTAAGGGGGCATCCTGGAGAAGGATTTAAGGGGCTTTGGAGGAGGATTTAATGGGGCATTCTGGAGAATATAAGGGGCAGTCTGGAGGAGGACATAAGAAAGCACTCTGGAGGAGGATTTAAGGGGGTGCTCTGAAGGAGGACATAAGGTAGAACTCTGGAGGTTGTAAGGGGGCAATACCTCCAGGGTTCCCCCTTACATCCTCCAGAGTGCCACATTACATCCTCCTCCAGAGCTCCAAAACCAAATCGGGGATTTGTGCTGTCAGTATGACTAATGTTAGTGGGAAATGTCCAGGCACTAACCAGTCACCTCCATTTACTCATTGTGGGCTCTGGCTTTCAGGGAGGCAATGCAGAGGAGAGATTGGGTAATATGGGCTGCCCACAGCTCGCCAGCGGCCGGGCAGGACGAAAAACACTTCAAAATAATATCAAAAAAGTATATAAGCGAGCGCAAATCTATATATGCGTATACAGGAAGCTGCTAGCACCTCAGGGCATAGGTAACGGTCCCAGTAGAAATATGTACATGAATAACGTGCAGCGCTATAAATGTACAAACAATATGAAAATGTATATACAATAATTCTTATAAAATATAAATGTGGAATAATAAAGTGCTATTAAGTGCAATTGTGCATATACAGTCAGGTCCATAAATATTGGGACATGGACACAATTCTAACATTTTTGGCTCTATACACCACAATGGATTTGAAACGAAACAAACAAGATGTGCTTTAACTGCAGACTGTCAACTTTAATTTGAGGGTATTTTCATCCAAATCAGGTGAACGGTGTAGGAATGACAACAGTTTGCATATGTGCCTCCCACTTGTTAAGGGTCCAAAAGCAATGGGACAATTGGCTTCTCAGCTGTTCCATGGCCAGGTGTGTGTTATTCCCTCATTATCCCAATTACAATGAGCAGATAAAAGGTCCAGAGTTCATTTCAAGTGTGCTATTTGCATTTGGAATCTGTTGCTGTCAACTCTCAAGATGAGATCCAAAGAGCTGTCACTATCAGTGAAGCCATCATTAGGCTGAAAAAACAAAACAAACCCATCAGAGAGATAACAAAAACATTAGGCGTGGCCAAAACAACTGTTTGGAACCATCTTGAAAAGAAGGAACGCACCGGTGAGCCCAGCAACACCAAAAGACCTGGAAGACCACAGAAAACAACTGTGGTGGATGACAGAAGAATTCTTTCCCTGGTGAAGAAAACACCCTTCACAACAGTTGGCCAGATCAAGAACACCCTCCAGGAGGTAGGTGTATGTGTGTCAAAGTCATCAATCAAGAGAAGACTTCACCAGAGTGAATACAGAGGGTTCACCACAAGATGGAAACCATTGGTGAGCCTCAAAAACAGGAAGGCCAGATTAGAGTTTGCCAAACGACATGTAAAAAAGCCTTCACAGTTCTGGAACAACATCCTATGGACAGATGAGACCGACATCAACTTGTACCAGAGTGATGGGAAAGAGAAGAGTATGGAGAAGGAACTGCTCATGGTCCTCAGCATACCACCTCATCAGTGATCATGGTGGTGGTAGTGTCATGGCGTGGGCATGTATGGCTGCCAATGGAACTGCTTCTCTTGTATTTATTGATGATGTGACTGCTGACAGAAGCAGCCGGATGAATTGTGAAGTGTTTCGGGAATATTATCGGCTCATATTCAGCCAAATGCTTCACAACTCATTGGACGCTTCACAGTGCAGATGAACAATGACCCAAAGCAGACTGCAAAAGCCACCAAAGAAGTGGAATGTTCTGCAATGGCCAAGTCAATCACCTGACCTGAATCCGATTGAGCATTTCACTTGCTGAAGACAAAACTGAAGGGAAAATGCCCCAAGAACAAGCAGGAACTGAAGACAGTTGCAGTAGAGGCCTGGCAGAGCATCACCAGGGATGAAACCCAGCGTCTGCTGATGTCTATGCGCTCCACACTTCAGGCTGTCATTGACTGCAAAGGATCTGAAACCAAGTATTAAAAAGTGAAAGTTTGATTTATGATTATTATTCTGTCCCATTACTTTTGGTCCCTTAACAAGTGGGAGGCACATATGTAAACTGTTGTAATTCCTACACCGTTCACCTGATTTGGATGTAAATACCCTCAAATTAAAGCTGACAGTCTGCAGTTAAAGCACATCTTGTTCGTTTCATTTCAAATCCATTGTGGTGTATAGAGCCAAAAATGTTAGAATTGTGTCCGTGTCCCAATATTTATGGAGATGACTGTAAGTGAATAAATAAATGTCCGTAATATATCTCAAATCAAATCAGCAAAAAATGAGCAATAATAGTCCTCAGGTTGAATGGCAATACATCCAAGTGAAAAAAGTGCAGATGTGCATTTATCCACGGAGGGAATCCACCACCTCTGATGGGTGTACACTCACCAGAAATTATATGTAAGCAGGCATTGGTTACAATCTGTCACATGTGGGTGCAGGAGCAGAGAAGCAGCCTAGGGGTTAATCCTCCAGCATCATCCATGTACAGGTGGGGCGAGTATCCCTTGTCCTGGGAAAGATAGCTCAACCACAGGAGCCAGAAATGCTAATATAGTGTAGTATTTATTATTCATATATCGATTTACATGTATAAAAACATTCCACGTGGAGTAAGGTATAAAAACAAGTACCAAGATGGCCGCCGCTTCATTCCTCGGCAGCGGTGAAATGATGTCAGCAATGCAGGCTCCACCCAATGCATTTCGTGCAACAGCACGTCTTCAGGGGTACGCCTGGTTTACAGAGAATGGTCCGAAAAAGAGAAAATATCCAGTGAGAGGCAGCTGTGTGGAGGAAAATGCCTTGTTGGTGTCAGAGGAGAATGGGCAGACTGGTTGGAGATGATAGAAAGGCAACAGTAACTCCAATAACCCCTCGTTACACCCAAGGTATGCAGAATACCATCTCTGAATGCACAGCACGTCCAACCTTGAAGCAGATGGGCTACAGCAGCAGAAGACCACACCGGGTGCTACTACTGTCAGCTAAGAACAGGAAAATGGAGGCTACAATTCGCACAGGATCACCAACATAGAAGACTGGAAAATGTTGGCTGGTCTGATGAGTCTGGATTTCAGCTGCGACATTCAGATGGTAGGGTCAGAATTTGGCGTAAACAACATGAAAGCATGGATCCATCCTGCCTTGTATCAACGGTTCAGGCTGGTGGTGGTGGTGGTGTCATGGTGTGGGGGATCCATCCTGCCTTGTGTCAACGGATCAGGCTGGTGGTGGTGTTGTCATGTTGTGGCATATCTATCCTGCCTTGTATCAATGGTTCAGGCTGGTGGTGTCATGGTGTGGGGGATCCATCCCGCCTTGTATCAATGGTTCAGGCTGGTGGTGTCATTGTGTGGGGGATCCACCCTGCCTTGTATCAATGGTTCAGGCTGGTGGTGTCATGGTGTGGTGGATCCATCCAGCCTTGTATCAATGGTTCAGGCTGGTGGTGGTGGTGTCATGGTTGTGGGGGATCCACCTTGCCTTGTATCAACGGTTCAGGCTGGTGGTGGGTGGTGTCGTGGTGTTGTGGATCCATCCTGCCTTGTATCAATGGTTCAGGCTGGTGGTGGTGGTGTCATGGTGTGGGGGATCCATCCTTGCCTTGTATCAACGGTTCAGGGTGGTGGTGGTGGTGTCATGGTGTGGTGGATCCATCCTGCCTTGTATCAATGGATCAGGCTGGTGGTGGTGGTGTCATGGTGTGGGAGATCCATCCTGCCTTGTATCAATGGTTCAGGGTGGTGGTGTCATGGTGTGGGGGATCCATCCCGCCTTGTATCAATGGTTCAGGCTGGTGGTGGGTGTCATTGTGTGGGGGATCCACCCTGCCTTGTATCAATGGTTCAGGCTGGTGGTGTCATGGTGTGGTGGATCCATCCCGCCTTGTATCAACGGTTCAGGCTGGTGGTGGTGGTGTCATGGTGTGGTGGATCCATCCTGCCTTGTATCAACGGTTCAGGCTGGTGGTGGTGGTGTCATGGCGTGGTGGATCCATCCTGCCTTGTATCAATGGTTCATGGATGTGCAGCTCATAAATTTGTAGCAACTGCATGATGCTATCAAGTCAATATGGATCAAAATCTCTGAGGAATGTTTCCAACACCTTGTTGTAGCTATGCTATGAAAAATTGAGGCAAAGGGGGGTCCAACCCGGGACTAGGGAGGTGGACCTCATAAAGTGGCCAGTGAGTGTATGTTGATAACTAGCTTAGAACAATGGGGGGCACATCTATAACTTTTCATGATATGAAGATATTGTGTCTGTTGGAAGGCAACATGTTCCTACATCAGCCATTTATGGATTCTTACTGCCTGGTTGTCAAAGGACTATTTTCCTGTTGAGTGTCATTTGGAGAAGGTTCTGAGCAGCTCTCACATTAGGTAACTTTTGTTTTTAGTCTTTATTCCTCAGCGGAGACTGACCGCCGTTATGATTTAATTAGATTGCATGGCCATCTTCCATAGGATAGAAAACCAACCCTTGTAGAATATTTAAACCTCAGTTGGCAGATGATGTTTGTTTTTTTCCTTTTTTAACAAGCTCGGTATTAAAGTCAGTGTCTCGGTCATCATTTATGATCAATTACAAGCCGCGTTCCCAGGAGAGCCCGCTCGGAACATGGAGAATAACCCTGTCTCTATAGTTTAGAAGCTCATAAGTAAGCTGTCTGCATACATTAGGGGATGCAAATGGAATCAGACAGAGATTTAGCGCTGTGTTGTGTGATGGTTCAAACCCGGAGAGACAAGTTAGTGGCAGCGGAGACACACAAGGAAATCTGAGATCGAATCTAAATGTATACTTATTGGAATTATCCGCCTTCCCCTAGCCGACTTCTCCAAATGTGTCCCTATGTGGCCCTCTGATATTAATTGTAACTCAAAGATGTGCGACATATCATAGTCAGTGTCAGGTCGTACCGGGACCCCAGTAGAACGTTGTTTTTTAATCATGGAATCATGTCCCATATGTTATAGTCCAATATCTGGGGTCATTAACCTTTAGGAGGGGCTTTCTCAGCTAAGCACGCCCTCCTGAGCTAAGGGCAAATTAATTCCAGTAAGTAAATGCTGTTGAATCGTTTGCCCTTACTCAAGATGGCCATGGCTAGGAGTGGTAAGGGATGTTTTTTCAAAGTGATTTCTCAAAGCGTGGAGACATTGTTGCATGGCGACATGGATGGATTAATGGATAAAGACATGTATAGATGGATGGAGACATGGATGGAAACATAGATGGATAGATGGATGGAGACCAGGGGCGGACTGACCATTTGGAAACTCGGGCACTGCCCGGGGGCCCGGGATCAGTAGGGGGCCCCATGAGATGCCTCTGGTATCTTTTTCATAGGCTTTTTTGAGTTTGGGCAAGGACACAGGGGCCCCATGATCCCCTATTGCCCGGGGGCCCCATGAGTTGTCAGTTCGCCCCTGATGGAGACATGGATGGATTTATAGCTAGAGACATGTATGGATGGAGACATGGATGGAGACTTGGATGGATAGATGGATGGAGACATGGATGGAGACATTGGATGGATAGATGGATGGATGGAGACTTGGATGGAAACATGGATGAGACATTGGTTGGATGGGAGACATGGATGGAGACATTGGATGATGGAGATGGATGGATGGAGACTTGGATGGAAACATGGATGGATAGTTGGATGGAGACATGGATGGAGACATTGGATGGATGGATGCATGGATGGATTGATGGATAGATGGATGGAAACATGGATGGAGACATGATGGAGACATGGATGGAGACATGGATGGATGGATGGATGATGGATGGAGACATGGATGGAGACATGGATGGAGATGGAGACATGGATGGAGACATGGATGGAGACATGGATGGAGACATGGATGGAGACATGGATGGAGACATGGATGGAAACATTGATGGAGACATGGATGGAAACATAGATGGAAACATGGATGGAAACATTGATGGAGACATGGATGGAAACATAGATGGATAGATGGATTGAGACATGGATGGAGACATTGGATGTTTCATTGCAGATATATTCTAAGTTTTAGGATGGGATTGAACTTCCTTATGAAAATAGATCTTTTTGACCCTATGAGATTATTTTCTTTGGCTATATCATGCATATTTTATTTATATATACACTTTGTATGGATTTTGTCTATTCTTTCCACATGTTTTATGTGGTTTGTGGTCCGTATATTATTTTATACTATTTATTCTATATGGTATCACTCAACTGATGTCTGCATTTATGTTTATATTTTTATTTATGATGGTATGTAAGAACAGCTCATGTGACGCCAGTCTCCGCCTCTGGTACAACCAGGGACGGCCCACATGTGTGTTTCTAGAATCTGCATTAGCTAACATATATAAGAGAGGTACAGACTCACTGATGATTGGTAGCTTTGAGGAAGAGGCTGAGACCTCAAAACGCATTAGCCTGTTGAAAGTCCAGGGTTCCATTTTTTGGATTTATATGCAATGTGGATTGGACAGCGCTGTTTAGCGTGATGTACCTTTGACCTGTTTGCCTATTGTGAGTACGATACTTACTTTTTATCCTTCCAATAATTTTTTTTTTACGATATTGCACTAGGCCAATGTGCCCTCTGTTTGTTTTTCTTTGTATCCAGTGACATTGGACTACCCTGGTTCATTGAGGGCATCAAGGAGTGCATTTTCCCAAATCTCTGATGTTACCATAATCCTAGCCATGTCCATCCCGAAGCGCAGGATTGCAGAGTTTGCTTTTTTTATGGAGACATTGATGCATGGCGACATAGATGGATTAATGGATGGAGACATGTATGGATGGATGGAGACATGGATAGATGAATGGAGACATGGATGGATGGAGACATGGATGGATGGATGGATGGGGACATGGATGGATGAACACATGGATAGATGGGGCAGTTTGCTTTGAGTATAACAAATAAATTAAATAATGTTTTTGATTCAGTGGTGCTCAGATACAGTCAAACTCTGCTTCAAGAGGTGGATGCTGCCTTCATCATTGGATTTACACCATGCATTCTGACAGGTAAAGTGAATAACATTGATTATCTGGTTGCATTGGCACCTAAAAGTGGGTGGGATATATTAGGCAGCAAGTGAACATGTTGTCCCTGAAGATGATGTGTTGAAAGTAGAAAAAATGGACAAGTGTAAGGTCTGAAGGGACTTTGACAAGGACCAAATAGTAATGTCTAGACAATTGGGTCAAAGCAACCCAAAAACTTCAGCTCTTTGGGATGTTCCCGGTCTGCAGTGGTCAGGACCGACCAAAGTGCTCCAAGGAAGGAGAACCGGACAATTGGTGACTGGGTCATGAGTGGCTAAGGCTCATTGATGGAGGTGGGGAACAAAGGCTGGCATGTGTAGTCCGATCCAGTAGAAGAGCTACTGAAGCTCAAATTGGCTCAAATTGGTGAAAAAGTGAATGATGATTTTGCTAGAAAAGTGTCAGAACACACAGAACATCACAGTTTGCTGTGTATCCACAGACCAGTCAGGGCACCCCATGCTGACCCTTGGCCACAGCCTAAAATGCCTACAATGGGCACTTGAGCATCAGAACTGGAACACAGAACAATGAAAAAAGGTGGCCTTGGTCTGACAGATTCAAGCATGGCTTGGGAAACAAAACAGCAAGTTTGAGGTGTTGACTTTGCCTCCAAATTCTCCAGATCTCAGTCCAATGGAGCATCTGTGGGATGTGCTGGAAAAACAAGTCTGATCAATGGAGGCCCCACCTCCCAAATTACAGGACTTAAAGGATCTGCTACTAACGGCTTGGTGGCAGACAAAACAGCATACCTTCAGAGGTCTAGTGGAGACCATACCCTGATGGGTCAAGGGCTCCTTTGGCAGCAAAAGGGAGACCTACTCAGTATTAGGTGGGTGGTCATGTTTTAGAGAATGGTTATATATTTATGGATGATTGGTGTATATACATATATATATATATATATATATATATATATATACTGTATATATATATATATATATATGTAACTGTGTATATATATATATATATATATATATATATATATACACACACAGTATAGGGAGAGAGAGAGATCCAGCAGGAGATCGTTCCCCATTGAGTTCTGATGGGCATTTTTTGGAGCAGTGTGTGTGTGTATATATGTATATATGTATGTATGTATATATATATATATATATATATATATATATATATATATATATATATATATATACTGCTCCAAAAAATGCCCATCAGATCTCAGATCTCATTGGGGAACAATCTCCTGCTGGATCTCTATACTGACATGGACGGGGTAACGTGTTAGGAACGTAAGGATGCCCCATTGTTTGATGATAATGAAAATGATCGACCTACAGAGGACTGAATTCAAAGACAACCCAAAAATCTAAGAGAAAAAAGTATGCAGCAGGCGAGTCCATTTTGCTGAAATTTCATTGCAGCAACTCCAAATGGTCCTCAGTAGTTTGTATGGCCCCCACGTGCTTGTATGAATGCCTGACAACGTCGGGGGAGGCTCCTAATGAGACCACGGATGGTGTCCTGGGGGATTTCCTCCTAGATCTGGACCAGGGCATCACTGAGCTCCTGGACAGTCTGAGGTGCAACCTAGTGGCGTTGGATGGACCGAAACATGACATCCTGGAGGTGTTCTATTGGATTTAGGTCAGGCGAGCGTGGGGGCCATTCAATGGTATCAATTCCTTCTTCCTCCAGGAACTGCCTGCATACTCTCCCCACATGAGGCCGGGCATTGTCATGCACCCGGAGGAACCCAGGACCCACTGCACCAGGAGGAACCCAGGACCCACTGCACCAGGAGGAACCCAGGACCCACTGCACCAGGAGGAATCCAGGACCCACGGCACCAGGAGGAATCCAGGACCCACGGCACCAGGAGGAACCCAGGACTCCCAGCACCAGGAGGAACCCAGGACCCACTGCACCAGAAGG